TGATGAACCATATTGAATATTTTTCCTTGTAAGTTATTCAGATCAATTTATGAATAACATTAGTTTTCCAGAAATTGAGTGATTTCTTCGAGAAAATTTGGCAACGTGTAGATGTAATTCTACGCACACAGAATGACATCGCATTAGACATCTTATGCGAAAAGATCATGGAAGAAGAAACAGTTTCAAAGAAGATCCCGCTTTACCTCGATATTTCTTAGGAAGTAAGCGTGGAGCGACGGCAAATTAAAACGCCTTCAATGGATTGCATAGGCACACCGAGCTCCTAGGAGATCGAATAGTGGTATCACGCGGCATGCCTCACAGCCACAGCACCTATCATCAGATTTTGTATCGTAAACGTAATCGATTTTTTCTGCAGTTAAAAATTAATTAACTTTGTTGAATACATTTGAATATTTGTCCTTGATTTATCCAGATTAAATCACGAGTAAAATTTTCCGTAAATTTCACAAAAGAAAAACATTAGTTTCCCAAGAAATGCGTAATTTCTCCGAGAAAATTCGGTAACACGTAGATGTAGTTCGAAGCACACAAAGTTGCATTACTGTCGACCTAAGGAAGAACGCGATATGAGTTTTTCGACGTTGTCAAATTTATTTTGACGATTTATACATTTTCAAGAAGAATTGGAAATATTTTTCTTCTAGATCTTCAGGCGAATTCGTTCGTAATTTGATCTCAAGAGTCTGAAAATTCGAAGGAAAAGTATATCTATAACTTTCTTCTGAAGTGAATAGGTATTTTTGGAAAACTTTGGCAACATGCGAATGTCCTTACGGTGTTTTTCCTCAGCAATTTAAACATGTTATTCGTACAAGTCATTCAAGAATAAACCATTGCAAATAAGAATCTGCTTTTTATCACGATAGCTCATACGAATTTAGCGTGAAGCCATGGCAATAGAAACCCCTTCAATGAATTGAATAGGCACGCCGAGCTCCTAGGAGGTCGAATAGTGGTATCACGCCCAACAGCACATGTCTTAAGATTTTGTATTATAAGCCATGTTATTTTTTTGGTTATTTATTTCACGATAAACAAATTAAATAAAGTCGTGCTCCGCCTAAGAGTACATCGATAACCAAAGTCCGAGACTTTTAAGAGCTTTTACAAGTTGTACCTTAAACTTTCAGATTAGGTTTCTGAATTTTTACTGAAGGGTACTTCACTTGCATTAATTTTAAAGCAGAAAAAAACGCACCAGAATTGCATTAACTTTACCAGTTAAATCGCGTGACGGATTCTATTACTGGCAGGACTATAGTTACATACTCATGTCAAAGCCTACCCCTTGTAATTGTTTTAAAGATCGGAGTAAGTAAGGGTTGAAAACATGCATTGTGACACGTCATTGGTAACTCAATCTGGAAGATAATTATAGAGTGTAGTGCTGCGTTAACCCTACGTTTCAATTTGCATGAAAATCTAGGAGCTCACAGATCGTTTAAGCAGAAAAATGCACCTATTAATAAATTATCCTGATTTGTACTTAGCACGCGAAGCCTTATGCAACGATTATTGAAAAATCGACTTCTGTAATCTGTAACGCACTTGGAATTTAAAAAAAAAAAATAGTTTTTTTATGCATTATTCCATTCTGAAGATATACAGCAGTATTAATTTAATCATTGAGATAGACAAGTTTACTACTCATTAAATCAGGCATTTCTCTGTTTTATTTTATTTCCGTTCACTTATGTTTGTCAACCATCAAGAGGAAAATGCATGAGATGAAAAAATGTAAAAAATTAAAGAACTTCCAACTCGATTTTTTTTAACAGTTCATTTATCTACATATTTTAAATGAATATTACTCGATTAACCCTACGGTGAAGTCCAATCGTGGATCTTTTTGAGAGCTTGCATACACGATTAGGACTTTTCGTACAAGTTGCATGAATTAATATGAATTCATTTAAAGAATAATGCTGTTGGTTGATGAAATATGCACGCTCATTACGTTTGCGCGAAAAGAGAAGACAACTGTGAAAAATCGATTCGTCAAGGAGCTTTATTCTAAGAGAATGTGAAGATATAACAGTTTTTTTTTGCTCTTCAAATCTAATAAATTGTTCACTATTTAGTCGCTCCTCTAACGTAAGGGCGTATCTTTATTTCCATGTGAGCCCTGCTCTCCGTATAATTCTATGCTTTCCGAGGCTCATTTGGAAATAGAGATACACCCTTCCGTCAGAGGAGCGACGATTTCAGGTCAAACATTGACGGTGAAACTATCAGACCACGTATCTCGTTTGCGATGTTTAAAACATCCGCCACTTTTTAATTTTTGTTAAGAAAAACAAACCAATATCATTCCTTGAAGTTTTCACAGATTTTTTTCCACACAGAGAAAAAAATCACGGAAGTTTTCAAGCACTGACGTTAAGTAGTTTTCCGTCGAAAAAATAAAGTAAGACAGGAAGTTTGCGACATCGCAAACCGAGATATGTGGTTTGATAGTTTCACCGTAGCTATACTCTTCCACCATGGCGTAGCGCGTGTCTTGCTTCCAAGTTATCGTGGAAACGTATACGTATACTTTAACTCATTTTATATTCAATTTACTGTGCAAACTGTGAATTGAATCTATAATAAACTTTGACATGCTTTAGTTTGCACTTTCGAGACTCATTAGTACGTGCCTTAAAATTCCAGTCTAAGTTCAATGATACATAGCATATGTGTTCCTCTAGCGTCTGGTAAAGTCTCCTGAAAATTGCGAACTTCAGTCTTCGAAGCCTCACTTCGATGGCTGATAAGTTTGAAAACTGTGGATCTTCATTGCAACGTTTAAATATCTTCGATTATGTTTTATGTTTGGAGAGAGCCGACCGAAATATTTCCTTGAAATGTTCCCAGGGTATTTTTATATGAGTGAAAAATCCACATGAAATTTTAGGAAAACGCGTTGGCTAGTTTTATTTTGACGGAATAAATAATGGGTGGAAAAATGTATCGTCGTGATTGAAGATATCCCATCTTCTAGAAACTATCACCTCAGTAGATTGCCACAAAAATCACGGAAATCCGTCCAGTAGAGCTGTAGAGCGAACTGTGATTAAAAACGAAAATTTAGGGGGTCAGAGAGCTAATAGTAAAGATGATATATACTTTTAGAAACCTTTATTCCTAATGTAATAAATGCCTGAAAATGCAGTAAAGTATTCATATATTTCCTTTAAAAAAAGAATAATAACAATAAGTAAATAAATTATAATCTTATCGAGGGCACTTTTGAATCGTCCGAATGTCCATGAATAATTCCTTTGTGGACAGAAATGAATCATCGTGGAATCCGCAATGGAAAACACCGAAATAACTCACAGTAATACATTGCCAAACCCTAAAAAAAACCCAGAATACTTTAACTTTACCATAATTCATCAGACGTGTACTCGTTTTAGAGCTATCCGGCTCTCGTCCCGTTGTTTACGGGCACGAAAAAATCGAGTGAATTAATCGTTTCCCGAGGAAAATAATTATCACGGCAGCAGTCGGTCTAACGTGTTGAGTCGAAATTACGAGGGGTCGTTAACACGAATCTTCAACTGAGGTGGTGGCAGTCACGGGGGCAAGGGCATCAGAGCCGTAAACGTCATTATATAAAAGCTGCGAGAGGGAGGTGGGGTAGTGTAGGGGGGAGGGGGTGCGATGCTCGCATCTGTATTTTCTAAATAAACGTTTCAACGGGAAGATAGATAACTTGACCAGGAGCCGGCAAGGATTAGTTTTAACAGCTCATTCATTTATCAGCTCACGATTGTCAACAACCCCTTTCTAATTGAAGTAGCGCCTCGTCCACGACATGACGCAAGAATCATCAGCGATCGATACATCCCCATTTGAGGCATGGTAAAAAATCGATTGGTCGCTGACACCCTGATAATCGATCTTTTTCCGTGGGTTTAAATGGCAGATCGATCGATTCGTCGAAAAGCATGACACACCCGAGCCCTGTGACCTGGGATTAGGACATGGGCCCCTCGGAAACAGGCCACCGATGTCAGCACTGCCGGGCCGAACACGGCTCAGGATAATACCATCCCTGCTTTCCGAGGGAGGGACGGGATAGGACCCAAAGAGATAATGGCTCTTGTGTAATTAAAATATAGTATCCAAGAGCCCCTTTTTTCGCCCCGCAGGTTTTAAGCAGGGGAGACACATGTGACCAAATCGATGGAGAGGGGTCTGGAATTCTTAAAATTGAAAATTGAGTTGTTGATTCGCGGGAAACCGTCGATTTTCCGCATGAAACAACGTAACTCCATTAAGAGGTTACAAAATGGGCCACAAGACCATAAAAGAATTTTGACTTGCGAATATAGTCTTTAAAACACAACGCGAAGAACACAATGCACATGCTTTAAATACGCGAAAAAGTAACTCAAAAATCGAGCAATGCGGAGTTCACAAATTGCAACTTTTCCGTAAATTTAAAACGCACCGGTTTTGCGCCGAACCGAATGATGGCGGCCTGTGCCAATTAGAAGGGAGCACGGGTTTTTACGATTTTTGTCAAATTTCTTTCTATACTCCTCGAATAAGGAAACAATGGGAAAGTCGAAACTATACCTTCAGAATCAAAGAATCGACGCTCGTTAATGTTATCAGTAGTCAACAAGCAACAATTCCAGATGGGAATATTCTTACTTTAACGGACATCAGTGGTAGGTGAGAGGAGATTGCGACTTGACTGCCGCGATACATGACTTCCATAATTTTCCCGCCTTTTGGGGCGTTTGAAAATCCCTCGAGTCTTTGGACTTTTCAGACGCGGGCTGGTGCGAAATTTAAACTCCAAAAATATGCAATAAATCACCACGTAATCTACACTCCCGGCACTTTCAGCATATTAAATCAAAAAGACAGAGTTTAATGACCCATTGACTCGGACAATACAATGACTGCGATTTCTGTTTTTTGTAGCACACCAAAGAACACTGGATCAGAATAGAGGTGGAATATTCAAAATTTACCTGATACTGGGAACAATTGAAGCAATGCCAGCAACAGCTTTCCCTTTCCACATACTTTTTGGCCTCTCCAAGTTCACACGGCAGACTGCACACTGATTCAGGCACTCCACTTTGACCGTTGCTGAATCGAATCTCTGCAGAAAGGAGAATAAAAAAGGGAGTTGAGACAAACAGTTTAAGACTATCGCAAATTTGTTAACAACTAAGAATTTTATTCAGCCAATTGTAAATAATATTTTCTAAAAACTTGAAACCATCACAAGTTCGGATAGGGTAAAAACTGTAGGTATTATTTGCGCAAGTTTGCTCATAAAGCACTCCTCCGTATTAGCATCATTTAGAAACGCCTTCAATCACAGATGATACCGCACAACTCTCTCGTGCTAAAATAGTTGCTTGAGCGCCTTGGACGCATTTGCAACAGGACTCGCGGGTATCTTCGATGCGAACAATTTTTCATCGCATAGAGTTGTGCATTTAGAAGTTAAATTTTGATTCTGAAACGGATGTTAAAGACAGTGCGCGATTAGATTTCCCCAAGGTGACTGTCTGTTCACTGGAAAAGACACCGTAGTACACAAGGAAAAATTCGACAGAAGAGAGATATTTATGAGACAGCTGGGTTCCTTTTTGGGCTACGAAAGGCGTAGACAAGGAATTAACTGATGAAGGCGATGCTACGTTGCGTTGTCATAAAACATCTAGGAATCCTTCCTCACTGCGAGATAATAGAACGCTCGTCTCCAGAGTGAACGTCTACTTTTTCTTCGCTTGCCTATCATTATCATCTGACTCAGTCCATATTAAAATCCATCCTTTTTAAATAACCGAAAATTCGTTTTCTCTTGCAGAAAATTTTTCTTCGAAAAAAATGTCATCGTTTGTTTGAAGATTACGAAAATTTCTAAACACTCAACGTTAAGGAAGCCAGTACACGTGAAGTATCACAATTCGACGTTTACCAGACGAAGGGGTGTAACTCTACAAAAGTTGCCAAATTGACTAAAATTACTCAACTTTTTGTGAGGATATTACTCCACAAATCCTGCTATAAATCTGGTTGATTTTTACGACAAGTCCGAGAGGAACCCGTACCATTTTCATTCGGGGAACTTAAAAACAAGCCTACGAACAAATCAGGTGAGTGCTTCTGTAACGCGAACGTATCAGAGCTTCCCGGCTTGCATTTTATCTTCATTTTTAAAATTATGACTTTTTGACCATGTCAGATTTCAACATTAACACATTCAAAAACGTGTGTCTACAGAGAACGCTGTATTTCGTCCGTCATCCACCGTTGGCCGTCAATTAAATTTAATGAGTTAACTACAGGCACTGGCGTGGAAGTGCTCGATGAGTTCCCTGAATTGATCTCAGCCTCGCGAAGCCACCCGGCGGCCGCCGCGCCGGGGCTAACATTCACAGCTCCCTCGTAAAATAATATTAATGGTTCCGGGAGGCCGGAAAGGGGTAATTATACCGTGGAGAACCGCAGCACCGCACTCGTGCGCATTGATCAACCACCCGCCGGAGCAGATTAAAGTTCACGCTAGGAGCTGATTCAATTTACTGACGATATACTAATCTGAATAATTAATTTCGCAGCCGCGCCTTTATTTAATTATCGGGTAATTGCACGGGAACACGCGTGCATTTGTCACTGCAGTGAGATACGATCGCCCTGCTCGCATGAATGACCACCCGGTGCGTAAGAATGACCATGAGTGCGCACATAAATTGAGGCGCTGTCAAGGCGGAAGATAGAAAATTGGCTGGAGGCCAATTTTTCCACGGTGACCTCCCAGAAACAAGGGAATCTAGTGAAGTGGAAAATAGTCTGGAGATCAACAGTTGGCGCCTTATAATGGATGATCAGCAACTTCTTGGGCAAAAACACGGATACAGTTTGCGCAACCTGATGATGACTAAGTTGAGAAAATTCAAAACGCCTTCATTCTTAAGGTATATGCAAAACGGACTTCTGTTGAGCACGAATAGTTGCGGTGACCCCCTAGAGACAAGGTAATCTAATGAAGTGGATCATGAATTCGGAGATCAACAGTTGGTGCCTTATAATGAATAATGAGCAACCTCTTGAGCAAAAACACGGAATGTAGTTCGCGCAACCTTATGACAACTAAGTTCCGAAAATTCAAAGCGCCTTCATTTTTAAGGTATGCAATACGGGCATCCATTGAACACGAATAGTTGCATCAAAATTTTACAATTAGAGACCTAGAATTCAGAATTAGCATCTCAGCGGGCCGATTCTTGAAATTGATAGACAAAGCTACACACAAAGAAGACAAAAGGGATTTGGAAGGATCCTATTGGAGGAAGCGGGTGGTTGCAATGGACAAATGAGAAAAGTAATGGACTAACTAACGGCAACCCACGAAAGACCCTTTAGTTAGTCCATCATTTACCCCCTTAGTCTATAAGAGCCACCCATTTCAACCAATAGGATCGCTCCTACTCCCTACGTGTCTTTTGTTTATAGCTCTGCCTATCAACTTCAATAAACAGGCCGCAGGTAGATTGCTCCGCACTGAAAAAAAATCTCGGTGTATTTATTAAGAAAAAGGGGTAAAATTACCAAGAATTCAGGGTTCTATTTGATCCCAGTTTTTTTCTTAGTAAAATTACCATTTATGGAATCGGTAATTTTACCGAGATTTCTCGGTAAAATTATTGAACTTTCTCGGTAAATTTACTGGACCTTGGTAAAAAGGCCAATATTTTTTATCGACTGTGGTAGAATTACCGAGATAAAATGGCAAAGTTACCGGGAATTGATTACCAATAAAAGTGGTATTCTTACCTGGAAAAAACAGTAGAAAGACCGGTTTTTAGGTAAGCTTGCCAGTCTGTCTTGGTAAAATTACCAATAATTGGTAAAAAAAAGTGAGATGGTAAAGGTACCAACGGAGCTTGGTAAAAACTCCGAGAATTTTTTTTCAGTGCGGGTATATAGAAACGTCCAGAGGCTAGCCAATGGAGGAAATTTCGGAGACGAATATAGGTTCGTACCTGACATGTTGAGGTCGAGTTCTCCGTCGATGTACTCGCCAACTTTGACCCACTCGTATACGGTGTCCGAGGTCCTCTTGTAATGGATTATGTTGTATCGAGCAGGGCCGTCGCCATTGGAGTCGAAGCGAAAGTGGTCCCCGGATAATCCTGTCAACAAGTTTTAGCTTTCACAACAAACGCACACACGAGCGAAACACGTGTCACCGCAGGCCCATAAAACACCCCGTCCTGGGCCTGGGGTGTCGCACCGTCGCACGGTGGATCCAGTCGATCAGAAAGGTCGGACATGAACTTTCTGACTAAAACTGTAAATTTTGATGTTAATTTCATCACATTTTAAATAATATGGGCTGCTCCTAGAAGACAATTTCACCAGACCAGTAAATTGGCGGATCTAGCAAATTGGCAACACTGTTTTTCCCCCTATTACCTATGGAAATGTATCGATTTTGGATGGACCAGGTGCCCCGACTAGAATCGATTCTTTAACATAGGTTTAAATGAAGGGAATCCGCTGTTGCCAAATTGCTGGATCCGCCCCTGGACCAGTAGAACCATTTTTAAAACCTTAATGGCTCGTATAAACGAAGTTAAAAGCTTGTAAAGTTTCCAAATTTTGTCCGACCTCTCTAATTGACTCGATCCACTGTGCTTCGCGCCGTCGCCGTGTCGTCAGCCATACGCTTGGGACCGAACGACGTATGCCGCCGTGCTAAGTAAGAACGTCGTATGAGCTACCAGACGTTGCCAGATTTTCTTCAACAAATCACGAATCTTCAGGAAAATTTGTTGGTAAATATCTTTCCCGATTTTTCAGAGGATTTCGTTCGTAATTTGATCTAGAAACTTTGAAAATTTCAAGGGAAAATATTATTAACTTTCTTTAAAAATACGCATTTTCAAAGAAGAAATTTGAAAACATGTGAATGCGTCTTAACTTAGCATGACTTAAAACAAATTCAGTTTACATCAAAGTTGAAAAAATAACCCAAGTATTTTACCAAGAATACCTAGGCCTCTAAACAAGTTTAAAGAAAATTTCACGCAACATGTATTCCCTTTTCAAAATTTCATGAAGAACATTAATCAAACAACGGGATGTTCCGAATTCAACTCTTAAACAAGATACGACTGCTTACAATTAGCAATATCTAAATGGTAAAATAAAAACAACACCAACCACAAAATCTAACTTCAATTTGATCTAAGTTGAAAATACGTGTTAGTATCTTGTTCAGGAGTTGATTTTCAAACTTCCCATCGTGTGCGACGTTGTCTGCGTTAGATTTTGAGGAGGATTCATGATACGATCTTCTCTAGTTCAGACCCTGTCTGGTGGCCCATTAAAGAGAGAGATTGCCGGCAAAATTGATTTTAAAGAGCAGTTTGAAGAATCGCGAAGCCAAAGACTTAAGATTTATCACGCGACTCGTACTATTATGAGGGCTGCTGGTGCTTAGCTGTGGACCGCATGCTGTAATTATTATCTAAGAAACCGAACACAACTCTCACAAACGACATTACCGAAATGCCGGGGGTGGATGCTATTTTGATTTGCTTGAAACGAGTTATTACCGAAAAGTCGGGAAAACTCTCGGAGTTCCTGGCAACAAATCATACAAGAGACTTAATGTCCGGGCTTCAGAAATCAATGTAAAGTTCCAGCAAAAGTCTCCGGTTGCTACATCGTTTCAGTGGCGTGGTGTGCTTTGCGATATATCTATTGTTACGCCATTTAAACCTACGGAAAAGGATCGATTAACAGGGTATTCGCAGCGAACACCTTAATAATCGATTCTTTACCATAGGTCTAAATGGCATAACAATCGATGTATCGCGATTCACGCCACGGCACTGTTTCATCGTTTTATTTATGTCAGTTGAAGTTCAGAAGTTCGGTCCCGATTTTCTATTATTGCGACCTATTTCACATACAGCAGCTCTCGATGCACCCAGTATCTTTTAATTTGTGTATGTGTGGATTAGTATCTCAGTGTCCTGCGTCCTACCACTTAGTATCCTTTAATTCCTTAAATTTAATGAGAAAGTTGGCACATCCTGAAGGGTTGAAGGAGGGGTACGTTGCAGAGCACTATAGAGCGCTGTGAAAGCGACTTTCACGCGTAAGAATCTTTTAATTTTCCACCAAACTTATTTGCTCCCCCAGCAGCCTGATTATCAAAGCTATTTCTTGCTTTGATGGCAAAATAATACAAGGCATATCCGCACCGTTCAGTTCATCGATTTTTAATGTCTTTTCGGGCTCATACGCGAGGGCTAAAGTGCAAAACCACGTATCTACATTGCGTCGTTTCAAAATTTCCACTCCAACTTTCCAACTTCCAACTTGCCAAGCTCGCTCCTCAAACTTCGCACCGAGTGTTCGGCTGACAGAGAGGAAACTCAAGGAAGTTTTAAAAAAATTTTCATTGACAAGTTCTCCGAGGAAAAGCCCAAGTGTGACAAGAATTCCGCAACGTCGCAAACAGAGATACGCGTTTTTGCACTTTGGGTACCGATATATTTCAACAATCAGGCCGCAGGACGCGCACTAAAGGATTTAGATGATGAATTTCACTTTCCAGCAAAAAAGTCTTCTAAAAAGTGGGAGAAAAATACTCACCACTTTTTCACAAAAGAATCGTATTTCATCGAACTAAATTTCACAAGCGCCGCACATTGGATCGAGTCAATTAGAGAGGTCGGACATGAAATTTTTGACTAAAACTGCAGATTCTGATGTTTATTTCGTCACATTTTCAATTTCAAGGGGTGCTTTTAGAAGAAAAGTACACGAGGAAACATATGGACCACTTATAAACCCTAGTACCAGAACAAATTTTTGCTTTTCTAAAAAAAGTATAAAAAAAACATATCTGTTATCTAAATGATCGTTTTATATAAAAAAAACGTGTAACGTTTATATAAAAAAAAAATCAAAGTTCAGACTTGACCGTAATATATGAAAAATGATAAATGCTAGATAAGGTAATTTTTTTTATACACACTTTTTTTATTTTTTTATATAACGCATGCATACGAAAGTGTTAAAGTGAACATTTTTATGTAACGATTACATAAAAAAAATAGGTTATCATTTTCGTGAGCTTTTCGCGAATTGGAAGAATTTTTAGTATGTTCGCGAAAAGCTCACGAAAATTATAACATTTTTTATATAATGGTTACATAAAAATGTTCACTTTTAACACTTTTGTATGCATCCATTATATAAAAAAATTAACTTTCGTACATACTATTTATCTTTTCCTTCTGTGGTTCTGCTACTAGGGAAACCTCAAAGTTGTGTATAAACGGAATTATGAGAGTTTAAAGTTTCAAACTTTTGTCCGACCTCTCCCATTGACTCAATCCACTGTGCGCCATGGAAACGGCTTGAGGCTCATACGAGGTTCCTTCTTAGTACAGCAGTATAGGACTGTTGTTGCAGGGAAACATATTGCAATGTACTTTCGAGGTCTCAAACATCGACGGTAAACCAAGTTCGAAAATTAATCGCTTCGGTGTGGTTTGAGTCACCTACGCCATCGATGATTTAACACTTGCGGTCAAAAGATCGATACGCAATTCCCTCAATACATCCCTCGCAATACATCATAGAGTACATTGGTAGAGTCGTAATGTGAGTTGGAGGGCTGGGACCACTATTAAGCATTTACCAGGTCCCGAATTCAGAGACCTCTGTATCACGCTGCCGGGTCACTGTTTCGATACATAATCGATTGTTTCCGATGTACTGGGACTCGGCCATTCAATGTAAAAAAAGGGTAGGAATCACCACGTATTCTACACCGCCATTTTGGATCGAAAATGTATCGAAAAAGTGACCGAAGCTCGGCGCACACCGGGCTCGGTACTCGTCGTCTAGGACATAGTCCCAGCTCTCCCATTCTCATTACAACTCTATGCACTTCAATGGAATGCGATACATCGATAAAGTTGCTCATTTATACTTGGACGGCGTTAAGCAGGAAGGATCAAAGACACATCAATTATCGCCAAATTTATTTAGGGAATTAATTGTTTACATGAAAATGGCTGCATGTGCGGATTTTTGTGCACATTTTAGTGAATTTTTTGCATACTACGAAGCAAAGAAGTCCTTATAATGTCGAAAGGAATCCGCAAAAACGTTCTCTTATAAAAAAATTAAACTGCACGGTTAAATTTTGCAATAGCTGATGTGGCTTGGTTCCTCTCTAATAGACTCGGTCCGATCAGATACTATTAAGCTGCATTTAAGTGATTATTTCAGTTTTGTTACCTACGTTTTTTGTCATTTATTGACCAATCAGCCCCGGTGGATATTTTTCAACTTGCATATTTGATGCGCAAATCCTGAAATAACTGACAGTTCTCATTGCGCAAATTAGATTGAAAGAAAATTATTGATGGGTATTGTATAACATCGTGTATAAATTCAGACTTTCGTCAGTGGTTATACAACGATGAGATCACCCATAGGGAACTAATATTTTTGACTCGTTTTAGAAACAACATACGTGTCATTAGTTTTCCTACGCAGATAGGTGATGATTAGAATGAGCTGGAAAAAAGCTGTAGTTACTTATTGCAAAATACAATCGATATATCGATGGTAAAAGTGCAAAATCGCGTATCTTCGGTCGCAACGTTGTAAACTTTCTGCCATAATTTACTTTCCCCTTTGAAAAAATAGTGTGCAATTTTTTTTTTTTTGAAAACTCCCTCGATTTATCATCTCTGTTGGCAAAATATTCTGCATAAATTTCAAGCTCAAAAGTTGACTTGTCCCTTCGGAAAAATAAAATAGAACTTAGACGATTTATATACTTCTCTTTTGACTGGTTTTCGCATTACCATAAAACTGCCATTGCATATCCGTTGCCGGCCAAATCTGCATTCTATATTAAATTTTTCAACGGGAGAGTCTCTGCACTAGGGGGAAAAGGGAGACCATTCTTGTCGTGCACTTAGGGAGAAAATTATTTTCCTCGCCGGTCCACGCTCGAATCGTAAACATTGTTGATCGTTGGGGAGGAATTTTTCCGAGCGCCACTTAACTACGCAGTCCTTTTCACGTCGGTTTCTTAAAGAGTTGGCGCTAAAGAAAGGGGTTTGAGTGATTTGGCAACCCTCTTTGCCTCCATATTTAATGAGGAAATTCACTCTACGTTCCGTTCGCTCGATTCATCCGCCTCAGAGCCGGAGGCAGATCTGATGCATTAGTAATACTCAACTGAGTTATGTGGCTGATATTTTGATCATTTTCCCACAGGCGCTTTCTACCAATATATCATGATTTTTCAAGTAACTTCTCGCATACGCTCGAGAATTCCATTTACCTCCACTTGGACGACATTTTCGCACTAAAGCAGTGGCGTGGCGTGCTTTGCGATATATCGATCGATCGGCCATTTAAACCCATGGAAAAGTATCGATAAACAGGGTGTTCGCAGCGAACACCCTAATAATCGATTCTTTACCACAGCTCAAATGGGGAAATATCGATAATCGATCACGCCACGCCACTGCACTAAAGAACTACTATTTCTCACTGATTTTAGAAACAACCTACGTACTCTTCATGTTCCTGCAAAGGCAGACGCTTTCTCCTCTTCATCTTTTTCTCTTCTTGTTCTTTTTCCCGCTCTTCTCCTCTTTCCTCATTTTTCTTGCGTATTCCTTTCCCTATTTTCGGCCTATTCTTCCTCATCTAATTTTTCTTCTTTATTATTCATCTTCTCCTTCTTCCTCTCTTCTCTATTTTCTCCTTTCTCTCCAACTTCCTCTTCTTCTTTCCTTACTTAATTCTCTTTCTTTCATTTTTCTTCTCTTTCTCCTGCTTCCACGATTTCTAACAGAATTAAGAAACAACGTATGTACTCTTGTTCCTGCAATGGCAGACGCTTTTTCCTCTTCATCTTTCTCTGTTCTTCTTTTCTTTTTCTTTTCCTTCCTCTTCTCACTCTTCTTCATTTTCCTTTTTTCCGTCTATTCTTCTTTCTTTCATTATTCCTCTTCTCCTTCTTTCTATCCTATCTATTTATCCTCTCAGGGTTTTTTGTACGGCAAACCTGTTTGGCTCATTTTGTCACCTGAAGCTCATCATCCACCTAGTACATGGTCAACAGCTGAAACGAGGATGATGACTGCTCTCAAATAACTATCCATGTTGCAGTCAAATCCCCCAATCTACACAAATCGCAGTGTGTCTAGAAAAAAAAAAAAAAAAAAAGGAGATTTTCTTTACGAAAAACAGATTTGACTGAGGGACCTCTAACATATTGCATTTTGACTAGACACATCGTGATTTGTCTAAATTGCGGGATTTGACTGCACCATCCATTAGGAAGTGTTGAGTCCCTGAAAGTAAAGTTACCACCTGTCGCCAAGAGGCCTGTGGAGGGTCTCTCTTTATCTCTGGATGGCTCCATTGGAAAAAAGTTAAGAACAGGATACTGGAATTCAATCTCTAAGCGAATTTTCGCGATCGAATATCATTCACCGTTGAATGATATTCGACGATTGTGCATTTTTTTTCAATGATATTCGACTTCTTCGTTGGTCTCACCAGAGACCGTTGAAATCCATCAATTTGAAATTTCGAATTCACCTCGGGACTTGAATTCGATTTTTGAATTGATGCAATCGATGTCAGAAACTTCATCTCTCACCAAAATTTTTGTTCTGTCATCTCTGTCTGTTGTTGTGTTTTGTCAATTCAAGTCTGGTGTTTTCGCAATTTCTGTGTTTTAGTGTTTCGTGTTTTCTTATTTTCTTCTTAATTTCATTTAGGAAACAAATCTGAGCTCTGATTGGCTCCTGACATTACCGATCATCGGCATCACTCAGCACTGATCAATTCGTTTGATGAATGACATTCGATCGCGAAAATTCGCTTTCTACATTCAAAAGAACGGAGAGGCGATTAAAGGAGTCAATTTACCTATAAAACTGACGTTTCTCAGGTATTTGAGGAGCTCCGGGCCGGCACTTGGATTCATGGCCTCGCAGAGGCCGGACTCGTTGTGACAGAGGTCTCTGTGCATGTCCTTGAAGGCGTGGGCGAAGGCCATGACGGCGTCGCTGACGAACTGCAGCTGCTTCTCGAAGGCCGTCGTCGCCGCCGTCAGCTTTTCAGTCGTCGTGCACGTCCTCGTGTAGTTCCCGTTGTACGGCGTCAACGAGCTGTTCGGGTACCGGCAGGTGAAGTGCGCCTCCCAGAATTCTACCAACAAACAAGTTCCTCGTTTTAGATTCAAGGTTTACCTTGTACATATGTTACGGGTAATCTATTCAAACCGGGTAATGTCGACATTACCCGGGTAATGGCGGCAATAATTGACATTACCCAGGCCGTTTTGGTTAGATTAGGTTAGGTTAGGTTAGGTTAGGTTAGGTCCAGCCGGTCCCGTCTGCGGCCCTCCCTGACGACTGAGGGGTGGGATGGCGGGTATTATAACCTAACCTAACCTAACCTAACCTAACCAAAACGGCCTGGGTAATGTCAATTATTGCCGACATTACCCGGTTTGACTAGATTACCCGTAACACATACATCAGAAAAGCCATCAATAAATGACACCATACATGCAAATTTTTAGGAGTAGCCAGAGACATTGATAACAGTGGAAAAACAAGGGGGAGCAACGGGAAACAAGGCTAAAATACACAATTAATAAAAAACGAAACGTTTTGACTCAAAACTGAGTCATTTTCAGTCGGAAATAAATTAAAATAAAAAAGAAAAAACGATGAAAACCTCAGCTCTTCATGGCCTAAATGACGCCACATACTCCTTTAGATTTTATTAGTACCCCTTGAGATGTACTAGAAGCCAATTATTAAAAGTGATAGACAAAGCTATATATATAGACAAAGAAGACAAAAGGGATATGGAGGGATCCTACCGAGTGGTTGCAATGGACAAAGAGTTAGGTAATACAAATAGAATAACTAAAGGCGACTCACGAGAGACCCTGTAGTTAGTCCATCATTTTCTCCCTTAGTCTATAGGGATCACCCATTTCACCTAGTAGGATCGCTCTATACTCCCTATGTCTTCTTTGTCTATAGCTTTGTCTATCGATTTCAATAATCGGCCCGCTGTCAGGTAACTAAAGACCTTCCCTTAAAATTGACGTCAGGCAAAAGGTGATTGCAGAAAGTACCGGGCATAATGTTCAGACTTCCCTCTGTCCATGGCCTTTTCTCAAAACCCATCTCTTAGGACGGGTCTCTGAGGGACATTTTCACGGTATTCGTCCCGAGAAAAATCCCATTTGCGAAGTCTAGGAAACTACTGAGTTAGTCAATATTTCTCCTGGTACCGAGTATGGTCCTTCTGCCCTTGTAGATGAGAAACAACTTTTTTCTGCTCATCTTTAAAAGCGCTTATCTGCATAGGGGGAATCGACGTTTGAAAGCAGAAGGGCTGCAATAAAAGGAAGAAAAGAAGAAAAAATACGGGAAAAAGAAAAAATAGAAGCAGGAGAAAAATAAGAAAAATGAAAGAGCGGAATGAGGTAAAGAAAGGAAAAGTGGAAGTTGGAGAGAAAGGAGAAAATAGAGAAGAGAGAGGGAAGGAGAAGATGAATAATAAGAAAAATAAGATGAGGTAGAATAGGCGGAAAATAGGAAAACGAATAAGCAATAAAAATGAGGAAAGGGGAGAAGAGTGAGAAAAAGAAGAAAGAGAGAAAAGGGGGAAGAAGAAAAAGCGTTTATCTGCGATGGAGCGTTAATAGTACATACGTTGTTCCTAAAATGAGCTAGAAGTAGTGGCTCCTTATTGCGAAATGTAGGACATATCTGGGAAGGAATCTAGGTTCGCCAAATACGACTGACAAGAATACGCCTTGAATGCTTGACAAAGGGGAGGTGCCCAAAAACTGAAAAAAGTACTCGGCGTGATTTATAGATTACTCCTTTCGCTGCCTTCACGCGAAAATCTGCAAATCACCGAGAGAGACGGGAAACATCCTATACGTACAAAGGGCGTAACTTGGACAGCCGCCCACCGTTTCCCGAATTTATAATCGCTGCGATTTTCGAGCAATCAACACTCGAATTTTATTAGTTCGGAGGGGCGCCGGCGCCCGGTGGTGTAAATCAAAACGTCAGAGCAGCTGCAACAAATCAACCCGCTCGCAGCGCCGCGCGGCGGCACCTATTCAAATCAACCCTTTCGCTTCCCGTTGCCGGATTCGCCGACAAATCGCTCCGTCTATACTGCCTAGAGTCCTTCTATACTGAGAGTCAAGACAATGTGAATCCATTTCTGATTGGTTCCCGTATTTTAGGCCTCCACAGTGTCACAAACGGGAATAAAGATTACATTTTCACCGATTGCAAAGATTATAATCTGGAATGGACCAGGGAATTAAGGGTTCGGCAAGGAACAAACGGAATGAGAGAGGGAACGGAGAAAGGAATTTGAGAATGGGCCGATCAAAGATTCCAAAAAAGTTCAATTTCTGTAATCTTTATTCCCGTTTGTGACTCCACGAGGGAGTATTGTCTTGACTCTCAGTATGAAGGGACTCTAATACTGCCGTCATCGCCAAGAGAGCAGTAACTGTCAAATTTTCGAAACCGGGTTTCCTTCGCAAAACTCTTCGAATCTCTTTTAGATGAAATCGCACTGAGATAGATAAAACAGCAAAATGCGCCTCATTTTTGTGGAAAAGAGACTCATGAGAAAGGCGTAAGTGCACAAAAAAAGACGTAGTTTCAGACAAAACAGCAGTATGTGGCATTATTCCTCCGAAAAGACAATGAAAAACAGTGCTTTTAAGTAAAATGTCGCTCTTTTCTGCCAATGACTAACCTGAAAATGTGTTATGTGTCCAAAACGCAATCACGGAAGCACGTAGAAGTAAGCGCACTTACGGCTGTCTTGCCTAACACTAAACTTGGTGTACTTGAAAAGTTTGATATTAAATCGAATGACGTAGTCACTAAATCAGTATATTCTCGTGGTAAGGGAAAACGTCATATCAACATTTATTTGCTTTTAAATCTCTCTCTCTTTTTTTTTTTTTTTTTTTTTNTTTTTTTTTTTTTTTTTTTTTTTTTTTTTTTTTTTTTTTTTTTTTTTTTTTTTTTTTTTTTTTTGGAGGGAACTTGTTATAAATATTTTTCGTGGAAATTACTTTACGTCGGAATACTTTATATCAACCCTATGGTCTGCCCGATTTGAGTTTTTTCTATAGACCATAGTTTTCGCGTTTTGAATCGGCAAACGAAGACGAAGACGAAGAAGAGGAAGAGGAAGGATAATAAAAAGAAGAGAGGGTAGAAAAAGAGAAGAAAAAGGAAGAGGAAAAAAGGTTAAAAGATTAAAAAACATAAAATATTGCTTCTATTCATTCCTTTCTACCCCTTCTGCTACTTCTTTATTATATTTTTCTTCTTCTTCTTATCCTGTTCTCTTTTTTTTTCATTCTTTTCGTTTTTTCCTTTCCCTTATTATTTCTTCTTTCTTCCTCTTCATCTTCCTTTCTTATTTCTTTCTTCCAGTCTTCCTTCCTCCTCTTATTTTTTGCCTTCACCTTCTCCTTCCTCTAATTCTTGCGATTCCCAATGCCTCCTCATTTTCAGGAGTCAGAAAACACGAGTCAAGGGCCGGATTAAGGGGATGGCTAACTGGCCACATGGGCCGCGGCCCATGGCGGCAAATTTTGCAATTTTTTTTAAATGTAGGTATAAAAATAAAATCGGATTCAGCGAAAAAATTACAAACGAGAAAATGCGACAAAATCTCTCATTTTTTGAGAGTATAGTAATTTCTAATTTTGTCGTCTTGCGATGATACCAGAGACAGCACTTTTAATTAGTCGAGTTAAGAGAGAAACCAAACACGCAATTTTTTTTTTTTTTTTTTNTTTTTTTTTTTTTTTTTTTTTTTTTTTTTTTTTTTTTTTTTTTTTTTTTTTAACTACTTCAAATAGCCCTCAAGGGCTAATCCCACGCTTTAAGTCCCATCCCCCCTCCGTCCCTACTGAACCAGTCCCAGGCAACCATTGTTTGGCATGGAGCGGTGCGGCGCAGAGAGCAATAATGACGAGGACTTGATATGAAAAGGAGAAGCCCTCAGCGCGGCGGTCGGCATGTAACACAAATTAGCACCTACAAGACTGCATGAATACTTCACACATTGCGTCAAATACAGTGCGGACAGCAGCGGCCGACGCGAAACGCATAGCGCCTACAAGACTGCATGAATACTTCACGCATTACGTCAAAAACAGTGCGGTCAGCGTGAAACGCATGGCGCCTACTAGACTTCATGAATACTTCACGCATTGCATCAAACACAGAGCGGCCAGCGCGGCGGCGGAAGTTAAAATTATTAGACCACATTTATGTTTGTTCTTGCATAATTTTTACGTTCATTAATTACAAATGGAAGGCCTTGTTCACACAGAGATAGGATTAAGGAACTTAACCTTCGCGCAAAGTTCCGTGAACTTTTGCTAGGAGTGTTCACAGGGCTTTCACAAAAAATGTGTCCAACAAGAGTAAACGAGTCTTATGCACCCCTCCCCCTCTGGCGCGTTCAACGGATGGTTTTTATTGATGCTTCAAAACGAATGAGGAGGGGACGGCAAAATACAGACGGTCCATTGGCGGCAAGTATAGGTGAATCCGGCCCTGCACGAATCCGTTAAACCAGGGTCAAAAGTCTACTACTATCATGAATAAGTGCCTGCAGCATGCAGATGTAATCGGAAATGACAGGGTGCAACTATTCGTGCTCTGTGGATGTCCCTTTTGCATAACAGCAAAACTGAAGGCACTCTAGCCTTCCTAAACTCGAGGACGCTGAATGCGCCTGGTCTGCTCATTCTTCTACTTTTTCGTCTTTGTCTTCTTCTACTTAGATTCGTCTTTTGTTACTTCCTCTTCTTACTGGGCCTTTTTTTGTCCTCTTCTTTTCTTATTCTCCATCTTTTTTTTTCTTTTATGCCTAATGCGTCTTCATGCGACGAACTCTAGTAGTCCTGAAGTCCGGGGCCGCTGGACTGGGGATAAGTGGCGAATAAAATTATCAAATGAATTAGATGACAAAATAAAAAGGTTTCGTCTTTTCGGCTTTATTCCCAAGACCATGGAGAATTTGCACACAAAAAATGTGGTGCCTCATCTGAGAGTGCTCAAAGAGCTGAGTTCAAAGTATGTTTCATATTTTTTTTTCTGATACGGGAAATTGTAGAAAACTAGATT